TGTGTGTGTGTGTGTGTGTGTGTGTGTGTGTGTGTGTGTGTGTGTGTGTGTGTGTGTGTGCGTGCGTGCTCGTGTTCGTCCTGTCATGTGTACGCGTGAGCACAATAGTTTACGCAAACTGAGGTTTTCATCAGGATTTGGTAGTTTTCGTACACGTTTCGGAATTTCAATCAACCCGATCTGGAAAACGCGTCGTAACCGTATTTCGATAGTTATATATAAGACTTGTGTAGTATTTACACCGGAGGCCATAACATCCCTTCACATAAAATGACTATCAAATCTTTATGAGATGTATATTTTCAAAAATGTTTTTTTGAACATTAAGAATTGAACATTGAAGGTAAGAATTATGAGCACCAAATACATCAATACACATTTAGCCGATATAATTGTTTTTAAACTAACTAATTATACAAAGCAGCTGGGAAATATCAATTATTGTGCGCACCAACATTGAACCTTGTCGAAGCTTGGTATCTATGGCTTCCTGAATTGTCCTCTACACCCCATGCAATCCAATTAGCGACACGTATATAAAGGGAGAAGCCATAAATCTAGCCAGGAAGGCACACGCTAACATAGAGATATTGTATGATTACACCCCGCTTTTAGCTGCAATACCTAATATATATTAGAATGCGCTTTCCCCTACAATACCAAACGTTCGTCATGTAATAATCGTAATAATATAATAAATAATAAGTGTTATAATAAGCGAATATTATGAATCTCACCTGTGTCACCGCGACCAGCAGCATCGCACAAACGCACCCGTGCATCTTGCGTGTGTGCCTGTGACGAGATTTATGAGGCTACGGGCCGTTGAGGGCCGTCGCTAGCGCAGGATGACAGGCGCAGAGAGGGACGAGTAGAGAAGAACACACTCCGCCGCGCCGAGAAGGTCAGAGTGCTGTTTTTATGCCGATACTTATTCTGCCGCACACTATATACGTCGTCACCGAGTGATTGCGAGCCTTACAATCAATCACACGCCGTAACCGATTGTGACGCTACTGTTAGGCGACCGGCGAAAACTACCACCGTTACTCCGCGAAGGTGATCTTAACGGAATAACATCTTCGACTCAATCGTGATGCTATGTGGTGCTCTACCTGGGGTGGTTATCCGTGCGATGAGCGCGCATGCGCACTCTGATGTAGGGCGGCTGTGTTAAACGCCCATTAATACCCGTACTAAGGAACCGTGGGACTAACGACTGCTCCTGCCCGCACTAAACGTATCATTTAGCTTTTTTTCTTTCTTTTTTTTTCTAAAATGTCAGACTGCTTGTAACCGTCACTAGCAACTCGGGAAGTGAGTCTCTGCGTCCTTTTCACGTATGGTAAAATAATTAGCACTTATACCGACCATCCTCGTGACCTAGACATGTAAAACCTTGCTGTCATGCAGTCCTCTTTTACACAAGTCTCGTATTATTCACTGTTATCTGCTTTGCCAAGCCACCGGAATCAGGCGGGGCGGCAAGTCGGCTCATACACCGCGGGGAAAATATCTCGCATGCGCATGCTTAAAAGAAAATGCATGCTATAAGCTATACATGGTCTGACCTAGAGCACCGTGCATACTAAAGGCATAATTATTCAAATCACCAGGAATTTCTCTCACTCGCACGCGCGCGTGCAAGCCATAGCCGCATGCGTTTCTCGTGTATGATAGGCGTGTAGAGGAGTGTGTGCATGTTGCTGGAGCATGACTGCCTGTGGCCTGTCAGTGAATAACACCGACCAAAGCGAGACGCCGAGCGAGAGAAACTGACTACACGTTGAAAACGGCGAGCGTAACCTAAATAATATGCTAATGTGGGCCTTGAAAAGTTCTTCTTTATTATATCGTAAATCTGCCGGGCTGGCCGCTCGCGGTGGTGATTGGCCTCAGAGAACAGGTGAAAGCGTCGTAAATCACAATTACATGGTTTATGTATGTGCGAAGCGGATGCGAGCCGGTAGATGTTTAGAGCTTTAGATTCTGTCTGCATGCGATAAACAGATAAACAAACCATATATAGAAACGTTGTCGGACAAGGAACATGATCATGTCGTTGTAATCATTGTATCATTGTGATATATATATATATATATATATATATATATATATATATATATATATCGCCCTCCCGGCAATCTGGAGTTTCCTATCTATCAGAAGAAGAAGTTAAGAAAATTTGGGGCGTGCTCGAGAAGCTATTCAATGAGGTGATGCTGTTCTTCATTTCTCGCTGTTCGCGCCTTACTCAGCGCTTTGTTTCGCTTTATTCGCAGCAGGCGTGAATAGATTAAACAGCATTGCACAATGGACTCTCTAGCCGCGATTTCCCGTTATTGTGCGTGATGTGTTGCGTCAGATAATGGAGAAACGTCTGAAAACACGGCGATTATTATTTTATGCTACCGTCATAACAAGATATGGATTAATGTCACGCAATGGTTGGATGGAGTAATTCGTTTAATTAGTTTGTCAAAATTTTCTATGCTTGGTTTACCACAAAATAATTGCTTCCATTCACTATATGTATGTGTATATATAACTATGCATTGAGGATATGCAGTGTTTAAAAGTACACAGAATTAGTTATATACATTATAAAATATGTCTATCACGCGCATACCTCAATGTTAATGCGATTTTATCTCTCCTACTCCATAATCATTAATCATTCTCATCGCTAATGCAACTTCAATATCACATCTCAATCGCTTCGCGATCGAATACTTTCACTCGTGTAGTGCGAATAGACTGCTGATGAAGACGATTGATGTACCGCCGACGTGCATCACATTCTCGTCGATGTTTGAGCGCGTAGACGAAACGAGACTATAGCATCCGAGTACACTAATGACTCGAGGGCCGATCTGCGATGGTTAGTCCCCAGGTCGGAACTCGGCTCTCATCCTTTCGGCAACACAGTCCAGTTTTCGCCTAGCTCCTACACCCTATTCCAGCGATACTTCTCCGCTCTACCTTCCACCGACCTACCTTCACCCCGCCGAGCGCCTCCGCGAATCGCCTCTCTAAGGTACGGAATAATCGGTATTCGATTACGCGACACGCGGCGCGAGAGTTACGACTTGGAGACATTTATATAGTATCGTAGGATTGTGTTTGATTAGCTTGAAATAGACGCACGAAGAATAGTTTTCATAATACCGTGTTTCTGTTATCTATCGACGCAACATGACACTGCCCTTAAAACGGGTGCCACTACGGCACCTACTAAACCGAGAACCTGGAAAGGGGAAGTGAAAACCTGCCTTAGACAATCAATTTGTCAAATTAGTACTTGTCGTGATACCATATATCTCAGCCGCTCCTTTGCTTCACATCTCACTTCGCGCCATATCTCGTCCGTTACTTCAATTCACATCTCACTAATATCTTAACGCAAAACCCTCATTCGTTCCTTCATGCCATATCTCACCCGCTCCATCACGCCATCTCTCATCCTTTCCGCCACACCATATCTCATCCATTATGTTACGCCACACCTCACCCGTTCGTTCACGATATATCTCACCCGTTCCACATCCTATCGATTCCTTTGTACAATATATTTTATTCCTTCTTTGGAAACATATCTCAGCCGTACCCTTTGCGCATATCTCAGTGGTTTCTTAATAGCGCAGATCTTATCTGTTTCTTCGAGGCATATCTCAGCCGTTTCTTCGCGAAATATCTCATCCGTTTCCTCCGAGCCACATCTCAGACGCTCTTTCCCGACACATCACATCCGCCTCTCCACGTATTTATCTCTCCAGTTCTTTCGTCCCGAAATCTCTTCGTGACTCGGGGGAGGGGGCTCGGTGTATTTATGGGTTTCCGAGAACGAGGCTAGAGCGCCTGACATCGGTGGACGTGATTACAGCCATCTTATATTTAGCTCCATGGCAAGTACATGCAAATTAGACATCTCGGTTATGCAAGATTGCGCTGATAGCGCTGGGAATGCCGCTGGGCTATGTATGTGTAACTCTGCTTTTAAATAAGCGAGTTCGCACCGTCCACATACATATACACGTCCAATTACACATACATAGCCCAGCGGCATTCCCAGCGCTATCAGCGCAATCTTGCATACACTTGCAAAGATTGGCTAATTTGCATGTACTTGCCATGGAGCTGAATATAAGATGACATTAGCACAGTCATAGACTCCCACCCTCTAGTCGTGCATAATCGACCACCGACTTTGCGCCGATTCACCTAGCTAGCCGCGCAGATGCTGATTTCGTAGATCATGTTTGGTAGATAGGTTTGTAATCGTTGGACCGGTGCCTACATTTGTCATATTTAGTCAAATGTGAAATTAACCTTCAAAATAAGGGTATGTTACACGACGATAAGTTGGTACTTCAGGAAAAAATACGAGTAGGTTCGCTCAGGAGCTTGCAGTTTTTCCACTTACCCTTTAAAAAAAATATAAATGCATACGCGAAAATCTAGAGGTTTTCGGATTTATTCTGATAAAAACAATGTCAGTCTTATCAGGGCACAATTGTATATTAATTTCTCAATTTCAGAATTTTATGTTCAATATGAAATACAGACACACACAGTTAACATACAACCTTTAATTGTTTCATAAAACAATTTCCCAACATAAAGATTGCATATTCCCTAAAACTTACCCTGAAAGTATACATATTGGATTACGAATATTAACTAACCGTTATCAACTACCGTTATAACGTATATCAACTACCGTTATAACGTATATCAACTACCGTTATAACGTATATCAACTACCGTTATAACGTATATCAACTACCGTTCTATAAACGTATATCAACTACCGTGATAACGTATATCAACTACCGTTATAACGTATATCAAACTACCGTTATAACGTATATCAACTACCGTTATAACGTTATATCAACTACCGTTATAAACCTGTATTATTCAACTAACGCGTAACATGACCGGGATTGATATCAGTGTTTTATCTGCAGAACATTAACATGTCTTATAAGAACAGGGAGGTTTCTCAATTGTCTGTTAAACGCAGCTTATTAACATTGACTTTGCTTCTAATAATATATGTACATATATCTTATAAACGGCCAAGTAGTTTGGTTTAATAATGCTTTCATCTATACACCCTCACCCTGCCTCTCTTGGTGGATATGCAATCCAAGCTCGACAATCCTATCTGCCTAGGAGCAGAAATCAGCGCACGGTCGCAAGGTACGACACTACCAGGTGTTTGGAACACAGTGTGCCGTGGCGGCGGGGGGGGGGGCGTTATGTTATGGCGCAACTCATACGCGTAATAGGGACTCAAGTATAGGCCCGCCCCCAGAAGCCACGCATTATTACTTACTGTTCGCTCTTTAAGAGTACGATAATAAACCCGCGAAAGTCCTTGCTCCAAAAAAGAAGTCTCACGCGGACACAGTCCAATTAATGTGATGTTTGCCGACTGTCACATACCAGTCACGGCCCGAGGTCATCGATACGAATTTTTATTAGCATATTAGTCACGCAACAAATGGGCGTAACGTTGCACCCAACTTAAGCGAGACCCACATCTAGGATATTCTTGCTTTCGTTGCATCAACGTACTCTAACCACATAGGCATATACTTAGTTGCGATCTAATTTTCCTCCATTTGGGAAAGTTTCCCAATAATTCTCATCGGGTTTGTCTCAGAAAACGACGGAACATGACGAACGGAGAGGCGTGGTCTGAACGCAGTGTCGCTTAGATTCCACGGAGCATTTATCGCAGTGGGGTATTACGCGCAGCTGAAAATTGTCCGCACAGCTGGAATGACCCCCAACCTCAAGCGCCGACTATTTGTGACGATACGCGCTCTGACACATTCCGCTGTCTCAGCCACTGGTCTCAGCCCGCTACACTTTACTACCAAAACGTAATTATGCCAACTAATTATGGAACTAAATTAATAGTGGTAATTATGCAACTAAAACGAATTGTGGCGCCGCCACAGAGAAGAGAGAGAGAGAGGGGTAGAGAGGGAGGAGAAGAGTAGAGAGAGAGAGAGAGAGAGAGAGAGCGCGCGCGTGCGTGTGTGCGCGTGCGTGTGTGTGTGAGAGAAAGAGCGAGATCTATCGATTAATAAAGGTTACATTGAACGGAAACAGAGAAACTTCGGTAAAACAATATACTAACAGGCGAACTGTCAACGTTGGAACGGCTGGGGATTTCGTACTACAACAACACGCGTGTAACTCTGTCACGACTTGCTGTTACTACTGCTACTACCCCACATTTCTCTCTCACCTGCCACATAATTAACCACGCACCTCGCTGCTGCATATGTAATGAGCGACTTGCGTGGCGGGCGTCCGTCTGCCTCCCACAGAGTCCCTGGCACGTGGCGTTAAGGTTAGGGTTAGGGTTAGAGACAGAACACTTTTAGCCAGCGAGGTTCCGATGACGTCACTTCGACTGCTTTGCACATCGGCGAAAGATATCGTAGCGCACATATGCTATTACTATACCGTAGACCGTCTATAAATGTCTTTGCTAAACAGAGCGAATTTTGTGTATTCAGTGTATTTTCTTCAGTTGTTTGAAATTGAATTACCTACTGTACGTTTATCAGTAATTTTAGATTGCATTACTGCATGTAGTCAGTACGTTCTTCTGTACTTGACTTGTAAATTACCTACACCAAAGGTACTACACCTTTGCAGTATTATAATATATGCGAATTAGACTTCAATATCATAATTGATATTAATATATATATAATTACTATAAATTAGTTATGAAAACGACGCCAACGGATTTGTTTATTATTAGTCTATGTTCACGCTATCACGTTTTGTCGTTTATCGATTTTGTTATAATATATGTTCACACTAATTTATCTATTTTGTTATTGTTTTGTTATATCTATCTATGTTCACACTTATACTTTGTGATTTTGTTGGTTACGCGGGTTGCATAGTAAAGGCACTTAATTCCGCCTATTCTGTGTGAATGTAGTCAAAATGATCTACTTCCATCAGTTAGTAGAGGATTGGAAGAATAAAATTCATAATATGTAGGTTTGAGCGATACGGGCGTATCGCAAAAATGCTTGCTGTCCGAAGTTGGCGCGCTGGTTGAATACAACTTCTTTTTCTGGGCAGGTCTTGGAGGAAATACGTATCACGGCATTTAAACGGTTACCATAGGGAAATATGTTATTGGTTCCAATGGAAACAATATTCATGTCAACAGAACTGGTGAGGATAGTACCACAAATGCGCGAAACGGTGGAAAACCATCGTATAAAAAAAAACAGGTAATGCGTGTCTGATTCGTGCCCGAGATATCAGACCGGATCAACTGGTAAAGAAAGCACGGTGTCACATCCTACCTGAGCACACGAACCAAGTAAACAGTACGGTGTTTTTTGGATGAACTGGAACAATTTATTCAGGTTTGAATCTATATGTAAATAGTTATCATGTGCTTATTTAAAGTGCCATTAAACATTATAACGTAACTTGAAGATGAATAAACTAGCACCACACCCACTATATATATATATATTACCCCTGCAAAATAACACGCGTATACATTAGAGATGTTTACACAGATGTATACCTACGCTAACCTACGTTGATAAGTTTGTCCTTTAGGTAATCTCACTTTGATTTCGCATGGCCATGCTGATAAGAGTAGAAATACCACAACTTCCAACAAACGTCAGTCAACGTGGACAAAAGCACCAGCCAGAAGCCTCTATTCTTAGTCGAAATCTTACTGGGCAGCTGCCGTAAAAATAATGAGATTGTTTCCCGCTGGATTCAGTTCTAATTCCCACTGTTTCCCTACTCTATGATATTCCCTATTCAATCCTCCAGAAAACATGTACATTAAAATTTATTGTAATTCTAAACAACGTATTGCATATCCCTGCTATATGACATTGTGCAATGGTACTTGAACTAATAACGAACAAGATCAACTAAACAGTATAAGATTCTGGTCCCTGGATTAACCATGAACAAAAGTTGCTCGCGCCAATAGACCTTATAACTAACAATCGCAACCTTTCATTATGAATCAGACATGCACCTAAATTCATTTGATAATGTGGTTGCTTTCAACACTGCACAGGTCTGAGACTGGCAACAATCCTTACGAACTTAGATGAAAATAAAAACTGCCATGAAAATGTAATGTGTGAAACATACATATATAACTGAAATAGTCTTGAAATCTAACCATAGGTTTTACAAAATTTTCTTACTGATAAATAAACAATGGCGAAACTGTAAAGATGAAATACTTTAATCAATTACGTTGTTTAGAAAATGTTTATGCGAAGTGAAGTGAGCGAGATAGGCAGGTGACAGAAAATGTCGTATTCGTCACTTTTCGAAAGCAACGTTTAGCTTAAGGGCAAGTCTATTTTTGTTTGTTATCGACACGACAGTGTAATCTAAGAACAATTCTTCGAAATCCAGCCTTCCTAAATTCTGAGTATCCATAATATTGGAAAAAAACATCCTATGAACGTGCAGTGATACTGTCGAAAAAATGAACTGAAACCCAGGTTTGCGAATAGAGAGTTAAGAAGCCAGTAATCTTAAAAACACCAGCTACGTGTAACAATACGTGGTGCTTTGCTCTGTACACACACATCCACCACGCAACATGTACAATACACAGCGACCGATACGGTTAGTGTGTGAGCAATGTAAAACCAGTGCTGGATAGAACAGTGCAAATTATCCGTGACAGTGACAAAGATGTGCAAAACAGGCTCATCTAAAAGTTTCATAATAAAACACCATGGCATTCATGCTGTGTGGTTATTTTTCCCACATTGTCAGATGGTTGCACGATTCGACCCCCCCGCTTGCGCGAGAAAGCCTGCAACCTACCAAGACAAAAAACATGTTGCTATTCATTCACTCACACACGAGACAACCGCGGGCAAGTCTCGATCCTTAACAGCAAACCTCCTCAAGATCCCTAAGATCAACTCCACAAATAGCAACCTCATATGAGTGTTACCACATACAGTAACACATCCGTGCAACTACTATAATAGGCAGGCGAGTGCTACACATTGTTAACAACGACACGGGCAGATACTATTTTAATAAAACATGAGATTTCTTCCTCATTCTACCTGAAGCTACTCTCATTACACGCTCTCCACCACCATCGATACTCTCTCTCTCGGCGACATGGATTACGCGATACGCGACGCTATACCACCTCACAGACTTTGTTTTACCTCTTCTAACACTACAAACGTGATCATCGCAGGACTAAAACAGTGATGATATAAGTGACGCAGCTCAACTCACTGCCGCCTGGTTGCCAAGCACTATGCACATTTTTTTCAAACTATGAGATTCGGCACGTAATATCACAACAATAAGACAAACGTATGGCAGTGAAATCCAAGTTGCACACTGTGGACTACCAAGCCCTTCCGAAGCAGGCAGACACCAATAATTCCAAAGAATAATGCACATCCAGCCTTGAATGAAAAGGCTACTCCTAAAAAACTGTGAGCTGAGCTAAGTTATTATGAATTCCTAAACAGTGTGCATCAAAGTGAGCTCATAACCACAAAGTGATTATAGGCTCTTTTTTCAGCAAAGATGTCTGACCTTTTCAAAAAGCATATTGCAACACAGTCAACATAACAGGATTAGTTTTAATCCTGTGAACAATGTGAGATTTCTTTTGCTCCACTACAAAATATGATTACGCTTAGTGTAGCACAATAATAAAGTTCATAACAAAAATCGAGATACATTTTCAATAAAAGTTCACTCTGCAAACACCGAATACATGTGCCACTAAACCATGGCAGTCACGTACAGACAAACAATTTGCAGCCAAAAGATTTGGTGCAAACTCACCCCACATAGTAATACTGCCCACTTTGCCACAATGTTTGATGGCAAGCTTGATAATTAGGCAACCCATTCAGTAGAATCTCGATAGTGTACCGTATAACAAAACATACCAAAGTGCTTAGAGATGCTACCCTATATGAGAGCTATTATCACGTTTGACAATATGAAAGCAGAGAGGTTTAAGAAAAGATTTCCCAGCTATGGAAACAGTCTCTGACCGGTGAATCTCCTATTGAGGAAAATCATTAGAGGTCTACCACTTATGGTGGCTACAAACCTATGCAAGCACACTAAGATCACGGAAATTAAATTTACATATTTTAAATTTACTAGGAAGAACTATCACTAGTCAATCATAATCTCAAATGAAGCCATTCCACGGTGGGTTTGTCTTGTATGTTCAATGTTCTTGGCCCATGCCTTGCACTCTATGTTGATAAGTGTCTTCTTTTGTGGGTTTTCCAGCTGGATTGCAACAAAGGGCTGCAAATATCCGGGAGTATTCGTGTATGGGTAGAAGTAGGCCGGAAATCCATATTTAGGGTAGTACGAAATTTTACCAATGTACTCCTTGTCTGCAGCATACTGAAATAAAGTATTGACCAATGATTACATACATACATTGATCAGATACATTACAATGAGAACATAGTTACGCTAAAATTGTTAAATGGATAACTAAACACAATTTGCAGAAAAAAATTATATTGCACTCTGTAATCTGTAACATGAGTAAGCAGTGTTTACCAGAGCAGTACCACAAAATTAAATATGTAAATTACTGAATAGAAAGATTCAATAAGTTGCGAAATATAAGCAGATCAGACATGTTTCGTGCAAGTGCTATACAGGCCACAAAACTATCTTACAAGAAGCGCATGTTTGAAAATCGGTGCAAAACAAAGCAAATCGGTTGTAAGGTTACAAATGGGACAAAATGACACGTACTACGCCTTCACAGCTGATAGGTATGTAGTCATTTCTAAATCTGTTATCCTTCATTTCCTGAGGTGCATCCTTAAGACCTGGATCGCTAGTGTCTTCATATAGTTCCGCTGTCCAATTGTAAATCTGCAACAGGGGCAATAGCCTTCATTTATACACACAACATTTACAGCATCTGTATTGAGTGCGTGATAGATGTGATTTATAAAATTAGATGCTATCCTATAAGGAAGGTAAAAGGCCTTTAAATCTCATCCCCCTATCTGCTAGTACCGTGTTATAAGACTGCCAATTACATAGGAATATCAATATTTTGTTCAACACTGCATTCAATGAGCCTAACAAATGTAGCATTAGATTTAAGCAAAATGCAGTACTTAACAGTTCCCAGAAGACCCTAGCACATACACAAGTGGCCAATCTACAAATGCTTAGGTACACCGACTACACCCACATCAGAATACAATAGACCATCAGTCATGCACCATCAAGGTTTTAAAACCGCATCAGTATTGGCTGGAAAAATAAAAAACAAGTCGGGCAAGTATATTTGCAATATCACTTGTCCACTCCCATAAGAACTGTCTGAAAACGGATACATTTTTTAGTAGCAAAAAAAGCACAACTATTTATAGATTTTTACCAGGACTGTACCAAGCCAGACAGATGGCAACAATGTTACTGGCTGTAGTTTTTATGATTTCCTACAGTACGCACATACAATTTTCCCGTTTTCCTAAATTTCTGTTCTCAGAAAAAATTGCGCAAGTTTCAGCTAAAAGTGTAATAATGGCACATGTATAGCAACCACTACGGTATACATAAAAGATTTTGCCTACAGAATGATCACCCACGCAATTATCAAATATCATGCCCGTATAGTAGTGATGGGAATCGGCTGGAATATTATAATCGATTATCGGTTTCCCTTAACCAATCGATAATCGATTATAATCGGATAATCGGTTAATAATAGCATAAATTAAATTAAATTTTACTTTGTATATATACAATTATACATAGCATTCAATATTATCATGTTTCTGATCGATTCTTATCTTATTCTTATCATGATCGATTCTCATCCAATCAGCAGCCTTGTGAAATGAAATTATGAAGTTCCTGTTATCGTGAGTTTGCTCGTAGCTACGATGTGTTTCTGTCAACACTACTCTCGTAGCATTAACATTAGTCGTAAGTGTTATCGTAGCATTAACATTAGCATTAACTTTACGATGTTTCTGACAACGGGCCCCTGCAGGACTTGTGCTCTACTTGTCATATCAATTCACACATCGTGAGTACAGTTCCCTTTGTTTGTTTTAGTATTTCCGATAATCGATTATTTGTTTTCATAATCGATTATCGAATTTGAGACTATAATCGATCGATTTTCGATTATAATCGATCATCGGGACATCACTACCGTATAGTACATCGACATTCTTCTGATAGAACTCTGCAGCAATTTTTAGGCAGCACAAACCATTCAGGGGTACAGTGTACATCTATGCATGAAATCTGTACCAGCTGATCACAAATGTGAACAAGCTATTAAACTTGGCTTACTCAGAATCACTGCCACACCCTGACATTTGAGCTTTTCGGAATGTGCTAAGCAACTCTTGCAAATCTGAAGTTAATTTTAAAAAATTTTGTAGCCATTTCAGACAAACAAACACCAGGTTATGCCTACCTTGTTAAGAGTTAAGACTATACACGGCTTCCCAACATTGTAGCCAAAGTCATCCAGATGAAGCTTGCACACTTCGTTTCCAATCATCTTCTTAACGTCGAATCGGCAGACACGGTTCGTTGGAGCAGGACGGCCTTCACAGTTAAAGATGTGCTCACCTAGAGTGCAGATGTGCAAAGTGAGATTTCAAACGCATTTACAACAACAGCATTCACTCAGACTAAGCTAGCTACATAGCAAAAAATACTCAGTCAACCCTCAACTTTATAAAACTACAGCAAGGATTATTCTCAGCACTCATGGTATGAGTACAGGCTGCGAAATTAACGGGAGTCCGGAGTGAAATACTCCCTGATTTAACATATATGCAGGAGTCCGTGTGACTCCCTGCAAATTCTGCCATACTAACTAGTTCGTTCCAGAGAACGGCCTCGTGGAATTACCGTATTTTTTTAGCTAATGTCCAAAGAAAATTTGGCAGACGTGCAACTGCATGAATCTTAAAAATAAGCACATGCGTTATTGTTAACATCTTTAATTTTGAACCTCAGACTGCGGACTCCCTCATCTTGCTGCGGACTCCCTCTTTTTGAGGGTAGGGAGTCCGTTGGACTCCCGCGTTCAAAAGTTAATTTCTACCCCTGGAGTAGGACCGTTATTTGCAAATTCACACTTTAGTTTTACAAACACAACGTCTGAAATGAGATACCTTTAGATTGGGAATTAATTTTTTTTCATTAAATCTGTGGTTTGTAAACATTTTCAGTTTTGCACATAACCACCAAATAATCCAACTCTAATTTAGTATGGAAAAACGGCTGTGAACCACCTTTCAATCGATCATTATGCAATCACATGGTTATCACACCTAAAAATATATGCCACCAAACAATATCACATTTACATAATAATTCTTTGAATAAATAACTCTATCATGAATGCACGATGTATCTATTCATCTATATTCTACACAGTGGTCGAACATCATCACAAAACTAACAGCAAGTATCATGGTTGCCCTTTTTACTTACTGCGGTGCCCCCCTGATAACCTGCAAATATCCAGGCAATAACCAAAGTGGCTGTCCTACTTGGTTTACATTTCTGCCCTTCCCATAAATTCAAGGTTATTTAGGTATCCTGCTTTGTACCACAAGTAGTTTTGTTAAAAGGCAAGTGATATTGATAACCCTTCTCTGAAGGAAATCTTTGGTACTTGCCATGGTGCCCTAAAATATCTGACCACATGTGTATGCACATAAACAGAAACACACGTTTACCTTTCTGCTTATCCTCATCATAAGGCCTCAGAAACCTGTATAGTTCATCCACGTAAGGCTTGTAAGTGTGCGCATACGCCTTCTGGCTTCGGAACCAAACTAGCGTCTTCTCGATATCAACTTGAGGCTCCCATCCCATACCTGACGATGTTCAACAATCTGATTATTCCCTGTACGAAGAATCACATGGGATTGTATGGCGGTAATATTAATTCATGGTTCAAACGTTTTTCCAGAAGTTTTCCAAGATTTTAAGGATTTATTTCACAGATACATCCACAAATAAAATATGTAATACAATATATTCTTATCTGCCAGCATATATATAGAACTTACCAGTAAGTATAGCAACGGTCAGGAAAATATGAGAACAGTTAAGACAATTTTTCCAAACTGTGCTTTGTATCATCTAACTAATGATTAGTAATATACTCATGTTTGTGTAAAATTGTAATGCTTTTTAGGCAAGACAGATGTGATCTAAATTTCAAAGAGTATCTAGGTTTTCCAGAACATGCATAAATCCTGTATGTATTCATGACTTTAAAACATCACTAACCAGGATTTCCTCCCAAGATGCTGTGCTTTCCATAGTACCTAGGTGTGTAGTCATTTAGGGTTGCTTCAAATACGGCTAAGTTTATTGCGAAGAATCCAGTCAGACAGAGATAAAATATAGCAAAGAAGATGGTGATCAAAGCTGAAAAGAGAAGGAAACCTTGTAAGGAAATGTACGTACTATTGCACTAAAACGTATAATCTTACCAGCTAGCAATTCTATGGAAACAATCACAGTCAAGGCAAATTTTTACGATTAGTATTCCCTTCCCTTACTGGAATCCACTCATTTGCACACATCATCACTGCAGCTGGTCTCAGCTCATTGATATTCAAATACATCACCACGCATTTCGGACAATGCCAGTTGCAATTCCATGCTAGGAATAATGTGCTAACAGGTATTACTGCTTTTCAATGATGATTTTGACAGTATAAGAATCAATACTAGCTGGCAGTGTGCTGTACAAGAACAGGCAGTGAATGGTGATGCCAATAATGTACATAGCTGCATGCACGGACACTGCTGGATGCAGACAAGTCTTTTTGATTGAATAAACTAATTCATAATTTATACGGTTACATGGTGTGTTTGTGACAAGCTGGTTTATTCAACAGTAATACTACAGAAAAGAAGTTATTCTAAAGTTTGCGCTTGGTTACGCTTAACTGCATCATGTGAGAGTAAGGCATTATAGCCTGGAAAGCTATAAAATGCTACTGCATTCTACAAACGTCAACCATGCATGCTGGTATTTTCATTGAGTTTCGTAGAGGTGTGTCACACCTTTCAGTTTTCCATTGGCACGGTATTGATTTCTACCCAAGCAGGAGTCATAAAATACATGCAAACATAGACTTTACACAATTTCCTGTGTGTTTAAGGAATTTGTTGCTTTCATTATGCAATACCCTATCCATAACTACAGTATCATGATTAAATTACTTATCATCAGAATAAGTTCATATTTCCTATTAGTATTTTGCATTTCCATATAGTTTTCAAGTAACTTTTAAGAGTCAGCAGGATATTTTTGGATACACACTATAATGAATTATTTGTCTGTCAATATGATTAACATACATCATTATTTATATATTAAAACCTACAGCGAGTTTATTAAAAGCAGGCAATGACAAATTCAGTTTCATACCTTGGTTTGTATACCATAAACTTTTCTAGTGAGTGACCTTCTGCACCACCCGCGCATTTTGTCCTGCAAACTCCCATTTTGGCCGTTTAACATGAGGTCCTTTGGCCTTCAACTTATCCAGAGTGCAAAACGAGCCTTTTTTGTCTAATGGTCGTATACTAGCCTACTAGATTTTGTAATCTGATAATCTATGACCAATTTTGGTACTTCAGAATTTAGGAATTTGGAAAGTAAGGTCTATTTGACTCCAATCTTTCAATTAACAAGAGCAGTGTAGAGCGTCTGGGCTCATCTGAAGTCTGTTTCTACGGTTATAAACGTAACATTTAAGTCCTGCGTAGTGACACCTTTGGTATGCGCAGATATGCAAATACGCAGTTGCGTACACATCATTTCAGCAACCTTCTGCATTCTGCATACCTCCCAAATCCCATTGGTTGATATAAATCGCATGCCTGAAACTCCTGTTTTATGGTGCATTGTGACCAACCCTAACCGTATTAAAAAAAAAGAAGTAAATATTTGCATTAATTGGAAAAAAATACTTAAATGGATAAAGATAGAAAAATACAGAAAACAGGTAAATAATAAAAAATGAGATGGGATTCGATCTAATGACCTTTCAGCTGTGACACACGTGCTCTACGCATTCGGCTATCCAGGCTTATTGGGTTTCTAGATTATGGATGTGCCATGAATATGACAACACTGTGACGTCATTGAGGCAGCTCAGGAATCCATGTTTAACCCTCCTCTTGAGGGTCACAAGGTTATCCGACACTTACTCTTCGCATGTCAGCAGAAAGTACATTTCATGGACCTTTCAATAAATACATAAAAATGCTAGGTCACCGCTGAAACAAAAAAGTTTTCCAATCGCTCCGTCAGACCATGTCCTCAGAAAATGTCTAAAATCTGCCCTGTTCCCATTGACCTTTGACTAGTGTTGTCAATCGGTTGTAATCGATGCATCGGTTGGACCCAACTAACCGATGATCGATTACAATCGGTTATCTCGGGGGTTGAATGCCTGCGTGTGCGTAACGTGTGTGGCATGGTTGTGCTTGTTTAGCCCTGTTTACTGTTTGTTTTGCCACTGTTACTACTGTGTGTATAATACATGTCTGCTGATTCTCATCACTTTTCCAATTTTTGTTTTGTTTTGTTTTTGATGAATCGATTATGGATTTTGATAACCAAGCGCTTGGTTTTGAGCACATGTTCAACCGATGATCGGTAATAACGATGATCGGACATCACTACTTGACCTCCAATTTCGGCACAGTGATGGCTTTTCCTACCATTATGCTATAACACCAACTATCACGAGCCTAGGTCGAGCCGTTTAGATTTGTGCCGCAATTCTGCATTTCCTGCGCTATACCTTAAGTTAAGGAGGGAATGTTCCCCCTTCTTTTAAACCTCTTGACCTTTGACCCCCAGCTTCGACATCCCAACTCATTTTGACGATCCCCCCCCCCCGACGTCCCGAATATCGTGACCGTACGTTGAGCGGTTAAGATTTGTGCCCAACTGTTGACGCACGCATGGACGGACGGACGCACGCTCATGCAATTCTACAAGCTGCATCTGACTATGTCAGATGAGCTAAAAACCAATTACTATGAGGAAACACAGGTAGCTAACGATACAAAGCATGTATACATTGTGACCATGACCTCGTGAAGCAGGAGGATAAATGAATAACAACAACAGCAACAGCACTATAAAATCTGTCGATTCTAGGGATTGTAGTTTTAATTAGTTTTTAGTCAGTTATGATTAATGACAAATAAAAGATGCAGCCCAAGTAAATAAGTAAGAAGTAATAATAATAAGTAAGCTAAGTTACAAGGTGGTATCTAGCGAGAATGGGTGGGGCAAAGGCACATCTCCATTTCATGGTCAACGGCCAATGTGGAACTGCCCACGGTCTAGTGACAAGAACAAACTGCACGCCACTTTAGGATTATTGAGTTAGCTAGGGCCTACTCTCTCGCACACTATTTATCTATAGGTCTATTATCTATTTATCTATAGGTCTAAGCACACTATTTTTTTTAAATATAATTTATAAATATAATCAGCCTACAGTATGACAGCCGACTCTGCAAAGGTCAAATAAAACCTTTTTATGCCTGGTTTATAGCCACTGCCTAACTAACCAACGCAATATTGCACTAGATAAGATAATGCTGTCATGTTTTTTTCAGGGAGGCCTTATCGGTTCAAGGATAGAGAACATGGGTCCCAATAAAACCAATGTCATTTACATCAATATAAATATAATATTATATCAATATAATAGGTTAGGGTTAGGGTTAGGATTAGGGTTAGGGTTAGGATTAGGGTTAAGGTTAGGGTTAGGGTTAGGGTTAGGCATATTGGGACCCATGTTCTCTATCCTTGGGCCACTTTATCTAGCAGGCACCGCCTTTTCAAAAACGCACGCTGACAGACGATTTTGTTTCATTCCGTTATTTTAGATCTTCCAAGTTTTTCTATTTAGTATTTTACATGACGAAGTAAGATTTTCCCCGACTTGCCAAATCGTGTTTCTCACGCGCTTATAAAAACGATAACTTAATTTATAACTTGCGCCGCGCCTATCGTGGACCGACCGGCGACCAAATAACTCAAAATTCAAACAACATGGAATTGCAACGGGAACATGTTATATTTCACACCTTAATAACTTGACTTTACTCAGAGGCCATGTGAGATTCTTACCCCAACTCTTTCCCGTCCTTCCTATAACTTCACCGGTTGCAGGATTGTACAGGAATGTTAATCTGGAAGGAGCGGCACATTTCTCTTCGGAACCCATTATCCTTGAAAGTACAGAACCAAAATGGCAGATAGAAAGGCAAGTACCCGGATGTTACCATAGCGCACTCTCTTGGGTCAATAGACAACCAGTCCCCATACTACGAATTTTCTCAGTATGTTGTATGCATAGTGCTATCAATACTTTGTTATACTTTGCAATACAATCATTTATTATTGTACGTACTACTACCGGCAAAATTACTCATGTTATATAGTGTTTCCGAGTCATATAAAAATGACCCGTACTAAAAAAAGGACATTACTGACTCCTTTCCAGCTACCCTGTGCCTGAGAACATAATATACATGTATATTATGTTCTCAGCCCTGTGCAGGGTAGGGCGGGTAGGGCAGGTAGGGCAGCTACCCTGCAGAGCCTGAATCGCGGAGTTATCTTGCTATTTAATTATTTGTTTAAAAGAAATCTCAAATACAATAATCATGGGTTATTTTCTTTGCTAGATAGGAAAGTAATAGTTGATGTGGAAGAAATATTATGATGTTATATTATATTATATGATGTTATATATTACACACTGTTTCATTTTCAAATTATGTTTGATTACCGTATATAGAATGAATTATAGATATCTCATTACAAATGCGCGATATAACATTATAATTTATAAAATATCATTAAAAAAAACATTTACTAGCCGGATAGCGGTGGCGCTAGTATCGATTCTTGATAGTCAGCCATGAGTCGAGGAAGTGTATATGTAGTTACCAATCAACAGTTTACATGTTGATTATTTTAATGTGTAGCATCACTGTATAAGAAAATAAACATGTCGGAAAGAAAGTTCGCGCAAGGATTAATCAGGCCAGGTAGCGCTGCCCTAGTGAGGGAGACGGTGTCTCAGGCTGTACGAGAGAGTCCTGCGATGGTAAGTCGTACCACAACAACTGAACAAGTCACAACAACACGGCTAAAAGTAAAATGAGTACAATAAAGTAAATGATAAAATCCTAGTATTATAATTTATATGTCTCCCGCGTACGAAACCGTACGCAGGGACGGTATGTTTAACCTCTAGCCACAGGCCCTTGGAGGCTCAAGTTTCAAGAAGAGTAAAAGAGCGAAGCGGTTGAACCGCTTCGCTCTTTTACTCTTCTTGAAACTTGAAACTTGACCCTCCCCCTCCAAGCACAGGCACTTGGAGCGTTTCAATAAACTGTAATGCTGAATAAATACGAAATCTATTTACTACCAAAGTCTTAATGTTTCTATACTATCTTTCCCTTCCTGCAAATGCCGTCCAAATGCTCATCTGCGACAAACGCTGGCTGCCGCTGCACACTGACACATAATTATATAGCAGGTATAGGAGAGCGTGCTGTCAAAATTCGCTCAAAGCTCCCTTGATTTCACACGAATACAACACAAATATTCAACCATTCTACTCCATCTCAGGGTTCTCCAAGAGCACTTATAGCCTGGCGGCCCGCCAGTTTTTTCAATGCTATCAAACTAAGA